TGGTGCCACATTCTAAACTTTTTACCAGCTGGAAAAGAGCAGCATCACAAATACCAGTCTGAGAACCACATCAACAGCATAGTTGCCTAAATGAGCACTCTTCTCAGAAATACCCAGAGGAGTTTGATGACTGAAAGCCTCCAAAAGCAAAGGGCTTTCAGGCAAATCCAGCTGATATATTTGTTATACGGTGCCAGCATAATTTCCCTTAATGGCTAGAGAAAAAGGGGAGCACGAAAAGGGTCAGTTGGGAATGTTATGTTCATGGGGGGGAGGGGGAGCAAAGAAAAGGCAAAACTAGCTGAGAACAGGCTCCATCTAAATTGCATGCAGACCTCACACAAAGCACAGAGAATTGGTCAGTAGATTGAAGCCATCTGGCTGGAGGAGCCATAAGAGGAAAACCCTGCTGGAGATCTCTCCATCACATCCCATCATGGTCCAAGATCAGAGCACAACATGGGCTTCCCCCGTTCCAAACTCACAGAGTTAAAAACAGGAAGAAAAGCAAGAGGAGGACTGCGAAGTTTGTCATTCTGGCAGAGCCTCTACTTACAAAGTATAGATCCAGCTAGCACTCTATTGCAAACAATTTCAGTCCTGACTCATATTTACCAAAAAAAAAAAAAGAAAAAAAGAAAAAAGAAAAAAAGAAAGCCCAGGTGTTTGACTTCTGACTGAAACAGGCTGCAGAGCCTGCCCAGCGCAGCTTCATGTAAATTTTAACCCAAGTGATCAGAACCTGTGCTTGTGCACATGCTGGGAACATGGAGCATACGTATGTCTGCAGTAAACATTAGGTGAAGCAGCTGCTACAGCAACATCAGTTTGCTGAAAGTTTGGGCATCACTCATTTTGACTATGCTGTTCCAAGGCCTATCTGGTAAGCCTCAGGCTTTGGCCGCAACAAGGGAGAAACTAAGTCAAGGCTACACATGCTACAACCAACAGCACAAAACATGGATGCAGACAGCTGGTTCAGGCTTTTAAGACTCCCCAGTGAAAGACTACTACAGGGCTGTTCTCATATGAATGAACCAGAGAACTCCTGGTTTCCTACTGCCCATCCTCACCAGGTACAAATATGTCTGTTGTTGAAATCAAACTGAGCATTTGTTACAGTTCTGTCTGGAAAGGTCTGAAGATACAACCACTGTTTTAGGGCCCTGATAAACCTTCTGTCTTCATTTAATGCAAATTAGGATTGCTTGCATTTCAGGTATCCAAGGACTTAATATTGGTCTTTATGCCAGTCTTGCCTTAACAAATTCAATATTTTTCATTGCGTTTTTCTGAAGGCCCTCCTTCACCTGGCTTGGGGAAAAAAAAAAAGAAGAAGAAAAAGAAAATCCCACACAACATCTGGAAAAATTAAAGCTTTGGACTGTTGCCGGTCTGATGTCTATGGTGCTGTTAAAGAGTTTTTCTTCTAATTCTTCCATGCAACCCAAATATTAATTTCTAGAGATCAAATCTCAGTGCAGGCAGCTCAGTTATTTTCCATCATTTTGACTTACTTGCCTATATGGAACATTCCCAAAATGTCAAAAGCCACTGATATTTTTTAAACACTGAAAATCTCAGAACTTACCATTTCTGTATCAGAAGTGAATTTCATTGAACCTAAAGGCTTTTCCCTCTAACAAATGTCTTCACCAACATATTTCAACTGGTATCAGTAATGCCACAGATACTGGGTATGAGAATAGAAGCATCTAAAATATGTAAGGAGAGAGGCAGGTAGTGGAAGAAACAGAACTGAAACGATATTGGCAGAAGAAGTTGGATTCATTTTCCCAGTGGATTTTTTTTGTTTACACTAAGCCTGAAATATTGGAAGGAAACATAATAAAATTATTACTTGGTTATTTTGCTTTGAAAAATAACTATATCCACTGGGAAAAGAGGAAACCTTAAAAATATAAACATGTTATTTCCAAGTGAGTTGCTCATTTTCCTGCTAGAGTACCATCACTTCACTCTATACTCCTGCTCTCTTTGCAGCTTTTCCTTCTTTCCAGCCAACTTTTCATCCCCCTCCACACTTCAATTTATTAATTTCTGTCCCAATATCATTCTCTCCTACCTCCTCAAGTCTGTTTCAGAAGGTAGTTCCCAGTACATGGACGCAAGAAATTGGGGTTAGCTGTTCATTTGTGGAATGGATAGGCTCTGCAGGCTGACAAGAATTTGGCTACTCTCAACCAGGACTCCTGGTTCACATGTAAGAGATGAACCAGTCTCTGAAGCAGTCTCTGATCTCTAACAGGCTGTGACACTGGACAGTCTTCAGAGAGGTCCTTGTATCCCAGTGGCTCTGATTGAATGAGGAATGATGAACTGAAGTCTTGGTGCAACATGACTGTTCAATACTCCCTTCTTTTACTCACACTTGGGGGGGGGGGGGGGGGGGGGGACACTTCTGCAGGTTCTTGGGTTTTCTGGGTTTTTGTTTTTTATTAGCTTGGTTTTCTTTTGTTTTTCCAAACACTAGTTTCATTTGAATTATTTGAGCTATTTTTATCTAACTACAAAATGTGATATTTCTAAGTATTAACTACCTGAAAGGACAAACCTGTGAATCTGCCTTACTCCTTACAGCTGGGTGGCTCCAGTTCTGAGGATTTGTAGCAATTAATAAGCACGTGTGGCTAACAAGCCATTTTGAAGAGCCCACTAAATTTCCTCATTTAAAATCTTAGATGATCAGTTGTTGTACTTCAATAAATTTATTCCACTTCTGAACACTCAGCATCAATGTACAAGCTATCACAAAAATTCTAGACATTTTGCAACATACTCATCACCACATCGAGAATGTTTCCCAATTTTTCAAGGGGGAAGGGAGACAGGCCGTTGGACGAAGTGAACGCTGACCTGCAGTGACCCCTTCTGGAAAGCACCAAAAATGTACCATTGGAAACAAACCTGTACTGCTCTGGGGGGCCTGTGTGGGAACTGCGTGACCTACTAGCTTTTTCCATCTCTATTTCTATGACTTTTAATGTTGTTTCATTGGAATAGCCTCAGCCTTTGTAAGATATTTGCAAAGTAAAGGTCTGGAGCAGATATACATCTATTAGCATCCAATGGACCAAAAAATGCCCAAAGGACCAGAAAAGTTGCTTTGTTGCTGGAAGCAGAAAGCAGTAATGTGTTACAGTAAATAAGAAAAAAGCAAAACATACTCCATTTTCCAAACAATAACAAAAAGCAGAACACACATTTGTATGAAGAAAAAAAAAAGAAAAAAAAAAAAGAAAAAAAAAAGAACACCTACAATGTCTAGTCCCAAAGGAGTTCAAATAAGGGAATACAATTTGAGAACAGAGCCATAAAATCTTTACAGGCCATAATCAATTAGGACATACATTTCTCATTTGAAATATGCTACTTCTTTACTTCTGCCCAGCCCCCCCACTTGTGAGCACAGGTTTAATTTTAATTGAAAAGGAAAAGCATGCATTCCTTAATGGTCAGTGACATCCCATTCCATTGTGTGCTTCTATCGACACTGGACCACCCTCTACAATGCTGACAAAACACAGACCATAGCTGAAATTACTTGCAGAAAGCAAGTCATTTTATTTTCTTTTGTACGCAGACATAGTATTCAGGATTATTTTTTATTTTACCCCCAAATACGAGCGCTTGATGAAATAAACACATTCAGAAATTATCTGTAAGAAATCAGAAATATGTCAGATTTCCAAACTTGGAAAGAGACAATGGGCTTCAACCCAAGTTGGCACCAACTTTGTCTCCTTTGGACAAAATGGTCTGCATTGCTAATGGTTCTAGAAAATACTTAGAAGGCAAAGAAAATTTCTTGGAGATAGAGAGGATTCACTCTACAAAAAAACAATTATTTATGAAAGCAACTGTATTCCTTCTTTGCATTAAATGATGCATCACTTAAGTTACTATAGGGGACACCACTTGTCTAAAGGCAAGAGAAGCAAGTGGAGTTCAGTGTTATTTGAACTATCACCATGTTGGTTGTCTCTGTCAGACCAAAACCCACAGTGCCACTTAAATGTCATCACTGAAAGTCAAATGACATGGTAAAACTCTTGAACAGCACCCAGCCCTGTCTTCTTATCTTTACCATGGTGAGCCAGTGCTGTGCTCCTACCAACTGTCAGTTTCGATCCCATTGAAACAGTCTGCCTTACAGTTTTCCCCTTCACATGAGACAAATAGAGGAAACTGGATTTAATTTAAGACACTGAATAAGCTCTCCTGCCAGGTTGTTACAGCCAGACTCCTTTCATTAGATAAATTTCTCTATATAAAGGAAATCTTAAGAATGTGACATTTCTACATCACAGTGTTTAGCAACGTTCCTTTTTCTCATAAGGAAATTATCCTCAGACTGGATGGCAGTAAATATTTTGTTTGGCTCTTATTTCTAAGCTTTTGGACAAGCTGAAAATCACTCTGCTTCTAGAGGACATTATATAGCGTAATGCAGCAAGAAAGGAATAGTTATCTTCTGGGATGACTCTGTTTTCATTGCTTGGCATTGAACACAGCGAGTCTGGTCAGAAGCCATGCCTTCATTCTGATTACTTAGAAAAGTCTTGGAGTTGCGAACTTAGAACTGCCATGGCAAGGGATTTCCAGTAATTTTCTGGTCTGGTAACCCATTCTACAAACTAAAGAGATAACGACAGCACCTGAACAACCTGCCTGCTTTTATCAAGGAGTACAAAAACAGAAAGCGCAGTCCTTTGAGAGGCATTTGCTTTCAAACAGGATTGTAACAAGCAAGCATAACAAATAAAAGGAAGGTGATGAAAGAACTCCTGAGATACGATGATCACAGTTCATTTCACATTTTGTTGTATGCTTACACTTAGGTCACAATTTATATTTTACATCACATTTTAGCTAGAAACTTAGAAAGAATGTACACAATGTTTTGCATGACCACTGTAGACCGCTGGTACAAGCAACACACATTTACTGTCATCAAACAAGCATTTGAGGAAACTCACTGAATGAACTTTCCTATCGGTTTAGATCAACTGATGAGTCAGGAGAATCTCAAAACGGCAGCAGCCCTTCTCTTCACACTACCCTTTTCCCTCAGGTGATAAGGGCGGGAAACTGCCGCGCCTCAACATGGCGCCCGAGAGCCCGCCTTCCCGCCGGCGGAAGCGGGAGTGACGGCAGCGAGGGCGACGACAAGATGGCGGCACCCAGCCTGCTGCGCGGGGCGTTCAGGCGGCTGTTCGCCGGGCTCTGGGGGAGCGGCTGGGTTTCACCACCGGCCAGAACCCTCCGGGAGGGTGAGTGCAGGAGTGGCCGTCCACGAAGGGCTGCTCGGGGGTCGGGACAGTGCTCCGGGATCATTCTGTATCGCTCCGGTCCCCGGGCTGCCTCTCGCTCTGGTCTCTCACCGCGATGGAACATTGCTCTGTTTCACCACCACCCCGCCACCTACTGCTTTTTTCTTTTTTAACTTTTTTAAAGGAGAAATGAGTCTCATTTTGTTTTCTTGTCTTTTTCTCCTTTATTTTTGTTTTTTGTAGTCGTGGAAGTGACTGAAGGCAACACGACCATAGTAAGTCTCTGCCCCTACTTCTTCCCAATAGCAGCTCACGCTGTTAATTCTCCTTTCTGCAGTAGGGAATAAGCCTGTTGGCTCCAAAAGGGGAGGGTGAAAGGGTCGGCTTTCTGCCCAAACGACATCGCAGCCTGTGAAGGCCAAACAAAGGAAGGAGAGCGTTACAAGTGTAGTTAAGCCGGTTGGCCACAGGAATGCTTTGGCCACAGCAAGCCCGGGTCGTCACCCTGATGCTGGTGAGGTGATGGAGGGCTCCAGTCAGAGCTACCCAGACATCTTGTGTGGTAATACCCGATAAAACTGGGAGCCCTGACACTTGACGTTATCTCAGCCCCATGGTTAGCGTGAGCAGGCATGGTAAAAGTTTGCCTGAGTGAAGAGCTGTTCAGTGCCTGCTGTATGACACATGTGCTGCTTGCCTTTGATGTGCGTTGTGTTTGTTAGTCACAGTATGTGCCTTAGCAGCTCATGATGTTAAGGTTGCCTTTCGTAATGTGTCCAGTGAGAAAAAAAAATCAGTGAAAGAGCTGTTGTCAAAAGGAAGACTCTAAATACTCCCATGAATATTGCTTCTGAAAATAAACAGGTTTTGAGATATCTGATTTAAAAAAAGAGCATTTTCTCAGCTATAATATATGAAGGAAAAATGCCAAAGCAGTAGAATTAGCATTTTGCTTGATTTATGCCATCTGATCTGTTGTACTTTATCAAGAGAATTATTGGTGTTCAGAAAAAGTACTGAAATGAATAAGGGTGGGAAGCAAAATTCAATTATTCTGCTTATATTATGTATGCCAGTAACTATATGTGTCTTGAAGACAGACAGTACAGGTACTTTGAAGTGTTTAAATATCATTGGGAGAGTAGAGTAGGAATTATATATAAATAAGGATTGAAGGGACTTTTTCTTTCCTCCCTAGTGAAATGGACAAAAACTGACTGTTTATACATTTAAAAATCTGAGTTTCCTTTGTGTCATCTTTGGGTTTGCGGACACTGTCATGTTTGAAGCTTGAATGGAGTAGGTTATTTATATTTTATATGTATAACTTTTTATACTAGCAGAGTGTTCTAGAAAAAAAAAAGAAGTCTCAATTTCCTGTGTCTTTGTGTATCATGGGGAAGATCTGGATACTTCTGCTGCATAATATGCATCAGTAATAATGCATCAACATATGATTCATCCTTGCTCATAAATGAGAAAATCATGTAACAAATAGCGTAAATTGATCAACTGAGGGGTTGATGCATTTCTCAGCATATCCTCTGGTCACTCCATTTTTCCTATGAGCTCAACATCAGGTTTTTCTTTATCCATCTGCGTGCTCATCTTCCTGTGAGCTCTTATCTTTAATCAGTATCGAAGGAAGTGTTGTACATGAGCCAGATGAATGAACCCTAAAGGAATTCAGAATTCATCAGCATACTGAGAATGTCAAGCCTTTGTACTCATTCTCAGTTCTGTAACAGAAGAATAATAACTCAGCGGCTTAACAATATGATAGCCCTCAGGTAGTGGTCAATAATTACCCAAGCCTGTGTGTTGAAATTGATGTCGAGAAAATCTGACGTAGCATTCTGATTATATTTTTTCTCATTCACTTTTAAGATGAAGTTATAGTCAAAGTACAGTGTGAAGCCAGACTGGCAAGAATCAATGAGACTCTGAGGGAATCGGACTGGCTTCCCCAGAAATCACTTTACCAACAAATGGAAAGTAGATACTGACCTGTATTTTATATATATATATATATATATAATTAATATATTATTATTATTGTAAAACTTTCTGTTGAAATTGTGAGAGAAGAAGTCTTAAGTAAAAATTGAGAGTATTCCCTCTTTTTGAGGTACAGAGATGCTTCAGCCACAAATAACCTACCCATTTGCCATCACTAGACAAGAAAGATGCTTGGTGTAATATCTTATACCATGGCATTTCAGATGAATATCAGTGTCCCACACATACTTAGAGAAAATGTCAAGTTCTGGATCTGAAAACCTGGTAAGAAAAAAAAAACATGACAATTCAAAATAAAACAGCTTTTTTTTTTCTTAAAAGCAAAGTTGTGTTCATCCACAGTATGGGAAACTTTAATTAGATATTTGGGATTTCTTTTTAAACTCTATGTTACTTGAACTATTTGACCCTAGCAGTTGGTGTTCCATATGTGGTTTTAATCTTGACCAGAAATTTTCTTCTTCCAGAACATTTTGAAGAAAAACTGACGTCGTCTTTTTTGTCTTTTCTGTCCATTCAGCTGCAAGTTGATAGCTCTTGCTTCTATTCATATAAGCCCTCAAAAAAAAGATGTGCACGTTTATATAGACATCATATTCCTAACATCTACATTTAGAAAACAAATTTCTCAAGTTCCTCCTACGCACACCTTCTACATTTCTTGGGATGCTACTTTTAAGAAAGTTAAGAAAATTTGTGTGTTATATGTCACCTTTTTGTATTGACGAAGGAAAAGGTTGTGAAATAGTCTCCCAAAGGAATTGTTCAGGGAATTAAACTAGAAAAAATATTAGTTTAATTTTAAAAATAATTTTAAAAAGAAAGAAAAAAGCACACAACAGACATTTCCCAACACTCCTGTCTGATTTTTCCTTATAATTTTCCCTGTTGGTGGTTTATAATCCAGCAAGCCTATGCGTGTTTTGGCTCACAGCATGCATCTGCTACTCTCTGCTACTCTCATTCTCAGCAAAAATACTTAGGGCTTTTGGCTAAAACAGATTGCTACAATTGCAAGGCATAGTCGTTCAGAGGAATACCACGATAAATGGAATTCAAGCCAGAATGAGAACTTCACATTGTGTACTAGTTTAGATTTGAATAAAATATATATAAGAATTTACCAAATGGTTTTCTGTGCCTCTTTTCTTTTATACCTATTGTCTTTGCATTCCCAAAGTGCTCAATTTGTACGTATATATGAGTGAGTTGTATAATGCAAATCCTGTCTCCCTTACATCTGTGCAATACTGGTCAGCACGTTGTAGACTTGATGAAAGATATTCCTCAAGTCACAGAGGAAGTTAGGTGCCTGTACTATGGAATCTTTGCTCATTCACTGTATTCTTTGAATTGTTTCTTAGATTGAAGGGAAAATTATAGAGGATGCTGAAGCACCAACGCCTCCTAACCCCTCTGGCCAGTGTCCTATCTGTCGCTGGAACCTGAAGCATAAGTACGATTATGTGGTAAGTTTAATGAAATAGTATTCCCCACAGGTGGATAAATACTGCTCTTGGGTGTAGTGTACTGCACAACCTGCCCCCTTTCTTCTTTCCCTGGGTGTAGTAAAAATAGGCAATTCCATCTCTACTTCCCTTGATTGTAACAAGAATAGCTTACTACGTAGTAATTGCTTGCCTTGGCTGATCGTGTTCATTGGAAAAAAAAAAAAAAGGGAGGGTGGGGATTTCTTCATATCAAGTAGGAGGTTTGGAATTATGCATGTGCCCATTACTGCTGACCATCTGATCCTAGAGCCTGTATTTCTAACATGCTTAGCTCTCCTTCAGCATTGCACTTCTAGGTGAATGGAACTGGAATGCAATATTAAGGTATCAGATTCAAGCCTGTTGTAACTCCAGAGAGACCAAAACACTTGATTAAATCAATTGTGTATTCGAGCACCATGGTTTCATTTTGGATCACTGTCCACTAAGGTAGTAACTTAAAGAACTTAAGAACTCTAAAGTTCTTGATGGATATGAGGTAGAGCACACATGCTTACTTCCCTTTCCCTTTAGCAACAGAAAAAAACAGATATTGATTGATGTCTTTTGCGGGAAATGATAATGAGAATATTAATAACACTAAAAGTGGAAGATGGAGGGGAAATTCTGTAATTCTTTAAAGCAAAAGCACCACAGAATAGAGAGTGTGAGGTAGAAGACACCAAATGTAGCCTCACCAGAGGTCATTTAAACACAGAGGTCATAAAAGAGCTAAGTGTTCCCACCACCCTAAAATACCAGTGCTGGAATCAGAAAAGAAAACCAGACAAGAACATCCTGTTACTAAGATTAAGTAACAGAGAAGTCAGAACAAGTTAATGCCAGTAGGATTAGGGTGAAAGAGATACAAATACATCTGGAGGAAAATAAATACTTTTGAGAAAGGAAGACCATTAATGTGAGAGAAACTGAAAGCCCTGTTAGCTACAGAATGACTGAGCTGCTCACGTGCGTGCAGAAATGAAAAACTGTTTGGATATCTGGGTACTAATGACAGTCTTGCAAATGACTACTGCAAGGCAACAGAGAAAAAAAAACCTAAACAGATACATACTTAGGCAATAGAAATAATTTAAGCATCGAATTAGGTACAGAGCAGTAGGCCTGGCTTGCATATAGCCCCAAGGTGCGGCAGCGTGCTTAGTGTTTTACATTCTGGTTTCTGAGCAATCTGGATAAGCTAAAATATGCTGAATTTGCAGGTGAGAATAAGTAAGGAGAAATGGTAGATACCACTAGTGTATGGAAAGTACTGGAAAAACAGATCTAATTTATGTTATGTTACCATGTTTGAATGCAGGGATTTCTTGCAAGATGCACTTCTCCATGGTTGCTGAACTTATCTGTGTTTGAAGTAAACCAGTCACACTGGAAAATGGTTTTCAAGGGGTAATTTAGTGTTACATGCAAGTAAATATAAGGAATCAGCAGGATTGTTAGTTAGCTGCTCTACAGATTTCTAGCAAGTATTCCATGAGTCTCGCATTAGGAGCTCCAGAGAACTTATTAACTGATGCTCAGGATTGAAATGAGCTCTTGTGGAGGATCAGATCTTGGAAATTAGTATGAAGACATTTTCTACTGCTGTTGGCAGTAGTAGACTCAGTTGCGCAAAGATGTAACAGCCACTGAGATCCAAAGCATTGGTTTTACATAGTGTAGTGTAGAGACTGTGTTCCAGGATTAGAAGGAGACTTAGTCAAATGTTACCTGGGTTTTTATTGTGAATGAAGATTATGCATTTCTTCCATTCTGAAGTTCAGTTTGATTCTTAGATCCTGGTTTCTGCTGGTCAGCATAGAGGGAAGAGAAAACCAAATGTGAGAAGAGATCTGCAGCCAGAGTATTTAGAATCATTGTTGAGACTGTTCCCAAAAATCAAGAAATCCTAGATATCTGTCCATCCTGACTGTTGCATAGTTTCTGAATGTTTATGTTTCTGAGTATATACATCCAGTATATACATCTGCTGCAGAGCAGAAGAGAATGTGGACAAAAAGCTGAAGATAGTAGCACAGACTAGCATATCCAAGTTGTAGCATGTTCCTGCCTCAGTATTTAGAGCTATTCCTCCACAGGGCTGATGTGAACTAGGAAAGTTTCAGTTCTGGAGTAGATCACCTCTTCTGCTTGAATAAGTTTATTATATCTTTGGATGCCAGTTGAGAATTTATGGGCTTTTAAATGTTAAGGTGAATAAAACCTCCCTTTTCTGCACAAAAGCTCTCTGCTATTTTTCTATGCTACAGCAGTGATGACTAGCAGAATCTTGAAGTGCTCAAACAATAAAGGGCAGACACATTACTGTGTGGGTAATTAAATGGTGGCACAATTTACTCGCTGGTGGTTGAATTATCCTAAAAGACAGTAAATCGAGAACAGCTATTTTTGTTAAAGACACAGGCTAGTTTATAAAGCATAAACTATAACCTGTGTTTGGTAAGAGATTAGAATAGATGGATCACAGTGGTTCTTTTGAGATTGATAAGCTGAGATCAGTCAGTTGCACAGAAGGGAAAGTGTGAGCTTTTTTGCTTGGGACGCTTGTAATTGGAATGAATAAGGCACTATGAAAAGGGAAGTGTTGAATTAGCCCCTGAGGGAGCTGAGTAATATGACCTCATAGGACTTTTCTTTTGTGATGGGCAACTAGCACAGTCTAAAGTAGTGGCATAATGAGTTACTTTAGCTGTCGGAGAACTGGGGGACCAATGTCTCCTAAGTTATTAATCAACCAAACAGGCATTGTGAGCGCTCTCGGGTCGTGATTCCAACTTGCCTCAGCTTTGGTGTGGAGAGCTGCAGTTGTCTTTGCCAGTTCAGTCCTTAGTCTCTGCTGAGGCTCAGGATAAAAGGGTCCAAGGCACAAATTCCCACAGTTTGTGATCTGAGTGTGTCTATCCATTAAAAACTGAGAGTTGATTTTATTTTTTATTTTTTGTAGCCATTGGAGATTTTAAAAAATAAAATTATTTTGATCGTTGTCAGGCAGTTGGGTTGAAATCTGCAGTCTTCTTACAAAATATCTAGTGGATTGTGTCGAGCTCCCAGGAGTAAGAGAGAAAGGAAGAAGTATATTCTTGTGTAACTGGAAATAATGACTTGGCTGGTACAACCCAGTAGTAATTTGGCTACGCAGACAAATCTTTTTGTGGTAAGTGAAGGTTTTAATGAATTGCATATTACTCGTCAAGGACATTGCTTTTCAGATTGTCTGTAGATAGTAAAATGCAGAGATGCCTCTGCATTTCAGTCGCTAAACAAAACGCTATGTATAGCACATTATTGTGAATGGATAGCAAGTTTACCCAGACCTTTTAGAGGTGAAGGCTAAGCTGCTTGTTGTTTTTTTTTTTGTTTTTGTTTTTTGCTTTTTCTCCTTATCTTCAACCATCATTAGTCTGAGTTAGGCAGTAAATATGTCATCTTGCTTTAGCAGCAATTAGAGGAAACTGAACTGCAAAATTTGCCTGTTAGCCCTAGATTAATTCAATCCAAGTTGTTTTCATCAAATGCTGCAGATTACAGGGGTGGGAATCTGGGTCCAGCCTCATGGGAGCTGTCCAATGATTAAAGCAAAGCTGTGGTTACAGGCTTGGCTGTCCATTAGCACAGAATGTGAATTTCATGGAACATGACGGCACCATGAGAACTTGCCAGACATATTTTTTTCTTTGACTCTTCTACGTACTTGCACACTTCCCTCCACAGCTGCCCCATAAAGTTGGCTGTACCTGTCTGCTTTCTCCCAGTGGTAAGATGCATCTGTGTGATTACAATGGGAGACCAGGCACCTGGTCCGTTAACTGTGGGAATCTTCAGAAACGGACAAACCTTCTGTCGAGCATGCAGCATTTTAAGCCAAATGGCATGAGTGTGATTTGAAGCTGTGGCAGTTAGAACGTAGGTGATTTCACTTGAGAAATGACTGCCACACAGAGCTGGTCAGCTGGTGACACTGTTGCTCAGAGATAATAACAAAGAATGAATTTTCCTGATATTTTTTTCCAGTGGGAGAAGAAGCACTATCTCCCTTTACTTTTCACCTCCCCCCTTTGCATGGAAATATTTGATAACAACCCTGTGACTCCATGAGGCGTGGTGGTAATATGAGAAAGCACTTGGACCACACACACCCTTCATTAGAGCCTGTTGCCTCCTTAGACTTTCACTGTAGCAAAGACTGGAACAGCCTTAAACTTGCCATCATCTCCCTTTTCCCTCTTTCCCACAGAGTAATGCAGGCTAGTAGAAAAGCCTAGGAAGTTTTTCATTTCTTAGGCACTTTGAGCTGAACGGCCCTTTCTCACTTAAGGATGTGGTATGTTTGTGCTAAGTGGCAAATTGAGGTGTTGGTGATTTGGAGAACTGGGTAGCTAAGAAAGATGGAAAAAGGGATGGAGTCTTGTTTAGGTTTCCTGGATCCAATCCAGTGCATTTCAGGAGTGGCTGAAAGTCAGTGCCCTTGGACTGCTTGGCTGGCCACCGCCCAACTTCCACCAACGCAGCTGGCACCAACTGATCCCCTGGTTACTGTTCTCATTGGCAAGGCAGTGTACTGGCTGGACCGAAGACACTTCTCTTCCCTTTTATCCACAGATGGCCTCTTGAGAGTTCCTGCTCGTTGCTCAGTTATGTTATTCTTATGATACAACATCACCGTGGATGGTGAATGATAAGTCATTTTGTATTTATAAAATGAAGGAGATGGATCTGAAAATCAGCCTGATCATGTTAGTTGGTAGAAAGGGAGCTAGGGAAGAGGGAAATTGTTTGTCATGATCATGGTAGTGAAGATGGGATTGGGGGAAAATAAACATCTGGATTTTTGATGGCAGCATTTGTATAACAGCATCTCATATTGCAGAATTGGTTATTACTAGAAAGTTGTACTGAATTCTGGCAACTCACTTCAGAGCTTAACTGGTGTCATGCAGTAGGTATGGATTTATAAATCCAGTATAGCTCTAGTTTCTGAATGCCCATTTTTATTCCGCTTGTGATTGTATGTCTTTGCAATGGCAGTAAGTGAAGCTAGAAATGTTTCAGGGAGCTTTTTGTAAAATAGTATAGATGTGGAGTGGGAGAAGGTCTGCCTCAAACAGGCAGAAGACTACCAAGTGCTGATATACCTGGTTTGAATTCCCAGCATGTTGAAGTGTCTTTTGTCACGTCCCTTCCAGCCTGTGAGCTATCTCTGTGTGATCCAGCTACTTCAACTATGAACATGTTTACAGTAATGGAGAAGTAAACTCTCAGTTAGCAACAAGTCTGTGAACAGATGGAGAAAAACAAGGACAGAGGCCCTAGACGCACTTTGGGCCAACTTATGCAGACATCAGCACGTCAAGGGGACCTGCCTATGTTGGTCTGAGAGTGCACTAGCAGTGGTGGTGCGTGTGGAAGTGAAGAGCTGGACTGGTTTACTATGTACAGTTAATGGAACACTCATGCAACAGCTGTTGCTGCTGTGCTTAGGAATTTGTAATCTCAGACCTGTGATAATATCTGATTCTAGAGATTTCTTTAATTTTGTTTTTATTAAAAGTGCTTTACATTTCTAGAGCTCTTAATTAAGAAGGTCAACAGCAGTTTAATCTAAATGATCCTTGAATCTCAGCCAAACCTTCGGTATGTTTTGAATGCTTCTTCTATGCAGTGTGGCTCTAACATCTCTGACTAATGCATGCATACACAGGCAAAGAACTGAAAGCAGTGATTTATTCTATTAGGTCTTTCCTATCGGCACATGTTCTTTTCTTACAACAAGCTTCTTCGTGCGAGATTTTGGACTGCTTCCCTGTTCTCCACCCCTCCAGAGAGACATGAGGGAAGTTCTACCATGGGAAACTGAACAAAAGTTTGAAGAATAGATACCAGAGAACAGTCCTGCTCTGAGGGGAACAAGGAAAGGGCCAGAGGTGATCTAACGTATCTGTGACCTTTAGGATAACAGCTGTAATGGCGTTTCAAGTTGTGTAAACACTGTCCATCTGCAGGTCTTGTGTAACTGTGCCTCAGTACCTAGGACACATTATCTTAGCCAGAATCTTGGAGCAAGTGACAGTGAAGTAGTAGGGATTGCAGCTGACATCATGTGTTTACAGTAGTGAAGTCAAGGGAAGACTCAGACCATGTTAGTGACCTCACTTAGCTAAGCTGACGGGCAAAGCGATGGCTCGCAAAACTCACTTGTTGACAAGCTGCATCTGAGATGTGTGGGAAGTATGCTTTGTTTTGGTTTGCTTTGTATTGAATTCAGTACACAGCGTGAGGATTACCACAACACCTAAAATCACGGCAATTAAAGGAGCTATAATACATTGCTTTTGCCCTTTTCTTGCTTCTACAGGATGTCTTGCTGTTGAGCCAGTTTATTCGTTCTGACGGAGGGATGCTGCCACGAAGGATCACAGGCCTCTGTTTGGAGGAGCACAAGAAGATTGCTGCCTGTGTGCAGATGGCACACCGTGCAGGTACCTCACCTCCTCCTTCAGACAGCATCTTTAGTGCAGGGTATAGAGCCCCATGAAAGGGCTCTCTCACGCAATTCGTATGTTGGTGAGATTTCAGTGTGTAGTTAGCAAACCCATCGTGCACCAAGTACTGGGACAGGATGACTGACCAGAAAGAAACTACTTGCTCTGCTTTCTTTGTGTCTTGGTTCCTACCTCAGTAGTAGATATTTACTCCTCTAGATGAGTCTACCACTGCTGAAGGATGTGAGAAATATCTCAGTCTATAGTAACTAATGATTAAATGCCAGTTTCTGAAGTGACATGTCTTAGCATAAGCTTGATCTTCTACCCATTAATGTACCTGTCTCCTATCTGCCTTGGGAAGATCTTTGTTTTTAACTGGGAGCAGATCCCAGGTTAACACAGTCTGAGTATTATCCAAGTTAAATGGACTGAAGATTTTAATAGTCAAATTTTCATCCTGAAAGTGGAATCTGATTGGACTTCAATGCTTTATGTCCTCTCAAAAAGCCTCTTTGGTGAGCCTAAGTCTTTGGCATCTGTTTCCTCTCAGTGTGTACATCAGAACCTCCTAACTAATCTGTGGCTAGAGTGCAGGTTCAGCAATGGCAAAAGAAAGAATAAATACTTTTTCTGTTCTAGTTGTGTTTTAGCAGTAGGGATCTGGGTTGCCTGGCTTATGAGGTATAATTAACTTGTAGATGCTATAGATGCAACAAAGGCACTGTAAAGTATTCTCATACCTTTCTTTTTCTATCCCAGGTTTGCTGCCGAACCACAGGCCTCTACTTCCTGAAGGGCATGTTCCCAGGAAACCCAAGTTGAACAGGTGAATAGTCTTGTCTTTCCATGTCTCTCTTTTTCAGGAATAGGTTAGAAGAGAAAAAGCAGTTCCTTATAACTGGCTAGAACATGCGTTACACAACAGGTCTTATAAAGAATACGTGTCTACTATCATGAAGTACTTTCATTAGACTTTTAAGGACAAACTGCATCTCGTTCAATCAGTGTATCCCCACAGGATGAATTTCACACATCAGTCTGCCCTCCTTTCTTCAGCTGCACTCGCCTCCTGTTCATTAATATTCAGTAGGGCAGAGACAGGAAAGGCTGCCACAGAAATGGAGTCACAGCATCACAGAGCAGTTGAGGTTGGACAGGTACTGTGGAGACTAGTCTTCACCTTCTGCACAAGCAGGGTCACTTATTGCTCATTAACCAAGAATGCCCAGCCAAATTTTAAATATCTCCAAGGATAGACCATTCACATTTTCTTTGGGCAACTAGTTCCAGAGTTCAACCACTCACAGTTAAGAAGGTACTTTCTTAAATATGGATGACATTTTTTTTCAATTTGTGCGCGTTGCCTCTTGTTTTTTTTTGCTGGGCACTGCAGAGATGAGCCTGGCTGCCTTCTTTATACCTTCCTCTCAGGTATTTATAAGCACTGATAAGATCTCTCTGAGCGTTCTTGTGTCCAGAATAAAAAGTCCCTTCTCTCTCAGCCTTTCAGTGTCCGCCCCCCAACTGCACTTAGGACAAAAGAGTGCTCAGGATGGGTACCAGAAATGTGTTGGGGTGAGCAGCTAGCAAGGGCCTGACAGGAGCTTGTTTTACTGTGCTCTATCTCCATTTGCCCTTTCTGACTGCAAGCTGTGATTCGTCCTCAGCCTGCCCTTCCTGTGTAACAGGCTGTCTTCCCCCTCCCAGGACTGAATGGCCCCTGGCCTTTGGGGGCGAACCGAAAGGCTGCTGTCGCCTTCTGCGCTTTGCTCAGCGTTAGGAGGTGCTAATCCCCTGTTTATGGCCTCACACTCTGTTTCCATGGGGATGTCAGAGCGGTTTATGAACCCTGCATTAGCAAGCTATGGGGTTACCAGAGGCCATGGGGCTGTTGCTGGGAGAGCTTAGGCTTCAGGGTTTGGGGCAGTCAGAGACTCCTTCCTGCATTTCAGGTCTGATGCTCTGCAGTGGAGACCTGAGGCAGGCCCTTGGAAATGTCCCTGAGATGCTGGCAGGCTGTGCACTGAGTATTGGGGAGAATCAAATTGGAGGACTCTACATTTGGTGCAGCCTTGTTTCCATTAGATACTTTGACTCTTTGTTCCTGTATCTTAAAAGTCTTTGGGATTCTTTAGTTGCTGCTTCTATCCAGCAGCTGTGGGGTGGAGCACGTTATCTAGTTAGCATTCACATAGCAACCCTGCATAGCAGGTCGAGACAGGAAATGATAAATCCTGTATCTTGCTGGAATCGCACCAGTACTCCAGGTCTAATGCCTTGAATTTTATAAACTGTGTCTTAGAATTTTATGAGAATAAAAGATACTTCAAGATATGTTCTACATGGAAGCAGGTGCCTCCACCTCTAAAATTAAGAGATTTTAATTAGTGATTAATATACACACCTTCCCTGTTGTATTGCTAGTCCCTCCTTACACCGCATGATTTTTTTTCTTTCCAGCAAGAGAATGTAACAAGCAGATTGCAGGCGGTTGAGGAAAAGAACAAAGCTATTGTTGAGGAGATGAAACAGCAGTGAAATAGGCAGTCTTTGGGGTCTGAATGGAGACAATGGAAGAGATCAAGAAATTTGATTGGAAGCTTTGGTAGTGGAGCTGGAACTAAAGAAGTCCTGGAGCCAGGGCAGAGTGTAGGGGTACTTCAGGAGTGCATCTGTGGCCCTTTACAACATTAACTTCTCAGTCTACTGAAAGGGGAAAATCTGTATCTCCTTGGAAATCTTATCCAGTGTGCCTCTGTGAGTTTTAGCTATGCCTGCCCCTTCCTAGACTTTCCACGTTGTTCTGTGGAACCGTAGCTGGCACTGGTTGAAGCAGGAGACATTAATTACTTCCTTCCTCTTGCCCTACAGGGGCAGGGTGGCCCTGCAAGGTTGGAAGGGTACCTGTGCATGCTGTAGGCTTTCAACCAATACTTACTTGAGGAATGAAGACAGAGTTATTCTTGTAAGTTTCCTTTGTATATGACTTGTCCAAGCTTACATTCCCTTAACCATTCTTAAAGTCTTTGTAAGGCCATAGTAAGTGGGGACAAACTCAACATGTGGTGACTCCAAATGCAAGTGAGCCAGCAGGGGCAGAATTGGGCTGGACCATGTGTGTGAAGCAAGCTGCCATGTTCAGTGCCATGAGAACCTGATCAGGTCATCCTGCAATCCTGTTTGTCATAATACCAGGACTGCCCACCTAACTGAGCCGGTCTCTTCACTGCATTTGAGGCCTGCTGGGTTTTCAAGCACAGGTAGCCTATCATAGTAGGTGCTGTATTGAACAACTAGGTGATATAATTTCCAAATCTTTGACATTGAGCTTTTCTTGAGATCCCTGTGTTGACTGCTGTAGTTGTCTTTATTTCTGTTTAAATGAGAAATAACTGCTTTATTTTGCACTGCTACTGTAGCCCTGGGAATGCCATTGGGGAGAAAATGAGCGGTCATGTAATATGCAGTTGTATTAGATTGCATCTTGGGCTACTTGCTAAAGCTTTTCCAAGACTAGAATACAGCTAATGTACATTCCTTAGCTCTAGTTTGACCAGCCCATGTACTCTCCAACTCAGCCTGCAATAATGGCTTCTTTGTTCCACCATCAGTGGGTCTGCTCTGTGTGTAGTGTTGAAATAGACTCTTCTGCTCTCTATCTTCTCTAGAAAGCCCTGACCACCCTTTTTACAAGGATCAGGGATGCTGCCCTGCAGTTGATCTATTGATGTGAAGTTTGGATTTCTTGCTTCTCTGGAAGGTGCTTTTCTGTGCACCAGCTTACAAGTAGAATCACTGTTATATTTTCTGAAGTGGTTTTATTGTCTCCATTGTACATAATTCAGACATTCTCTCTTACGTGCTGCAGAATTGTCTGCATATTGGTAAGAATTTACCTGTTTCGTACTGGGTCATTTGACAGGCAGCTGACCCCATTTCTTAACCTGTTTCTGGGATGCAAGAGTAAGAGCAGAATGCTTTTGGAAGCAGGGATCTGCTGATCCCAGCTTGTTCTTGGTTGTGCAGCTCTAGCACAGAGTGGATGTGGTCACATCCATCATCCAGGATGTAATGTAACATAGAGAAGGAGATGGGGAACTGCAGAAGAAGGTATAACGTGAAAGTGGAATGCCAGTTTGAGCCATGCTCTGGCCATCATGGTGGTGGGTGATGTGTGGAACAGGTTGGGGTCAGAATTTAACTGAGGGGCACTCCACAGCTCTCTGTTGTACTCCCTACATTTGGAACACTGTCCAGGTAAGACCCACTGTGGCATTCTTCATTTCTTGGATTTAGTTCTTTCTTTTCACATTCTGCCTGATTTGTTTTTGATGATGAAAGCTCATGAATATTATTGCTTAACTGCTTTATTTGCTGTGGGCTCTTTTTTAGGAATATGGCTGTCAGAGTTTTTGCATCATCCATAAACTCTTCAGTCTGCTGTCCTCTTCCTCTCTTTCATAACATTTATCTACAGAACTGGGGCATGACACCAGTGAAGATTACGCCTGTCATTACAGAATTAGTCCCTATGGTTCATTTATTTGGCCCAGCCTGGGCCTTTCACTGTTTGCAAGGGTTGATTCTACAAGCAAACTTGTAGCCAAGGCTTGTTCCCTCAGCCCCAGTCTGAGTTCTCCCTTTCATAACTTCTGTTGTTACTTCTTATTTTTGAGTCCATTTGTGCTCCAGCCTGGCATGTTCTAGTAAAGTGCTGCAGCAACAAAACATTATCACTAGCCCATGAGGTGGAGGACATTCTCAGGGATTACACAAACACTTTGTGGAGTGACAGGCTGTTCACAGATTCCAGGGTTGTATGTGCAGGCCACCACACACCAAAACCATTTGGGAAGCTGTCAAGTACAGCTCCAGGCCACACTTCTGTACTTGCTTTCCAGGAGTGGAAACCTGAACAAGTCAGCAGTTTTGTTTACAGCATGAAGTTTGCTGCATGGATATTGTGGATTAACTATCCAGAACAGACACCAAGTTCAGGCCATCATCTAGATGTTTTCTTAACGTTAATATACCACTCTTTTTCTTCTGGTAGGCCCCTATTGTTGGTTAAAGTACAATAATGAGAAGTTGTTCCCTCTTCCAAAGGACTGAAGGATGTCACATGTTCCCTGAGTCATCCATACTCTTGTCAACAAGAGTATGCTGTACATGTGGAGTATGTGATTTTAAGTTCTCAGTTACTATTCCATTTTCAGCTTCGTACTGGAAGAACAGAAATTGGCACAGCTAATATCCAGGTCAGTCCTTCCTCCGCATGAACTGGAGAATTTGCTATGTGTCAGGGAAGAAGCAGGTTCCATATGAATTCCTCATGAATTATAAAGTTCTCAGGCTCTGCAGACACCTCTCATCCCTCAGAGCAGAATCTGATTTCACTGCTATCAGTGTTTCATTCCAGCAGCTTGTGGTTTCTCTCATCTGTATGAAAACTGTGTGTGCATAGCATGTGAATTCAAAAGAGCAAAGAGCTGGAGTGGCTGCAGGTGAGCAAAACCAAGAAGTGTCAAGGGAAGGGATGTGGCAGGGAGGAAGCAGTCTTGCCAGCACTTTGATAGAATGCTTCCTGCACAGTCTGTAGCCCACTGCCTTCTGTTCTTAATCCAAACAAGAGATGGACTGAAAAAGTTCAATGAGGGTTCAGAAGTTCAGCCTTGAACCGCACCAGCATACTTGGGCTGAACACGGAGCTGCAGTCTCCCATGTGTAGATAATTTCTCTTACCCAGCACATAGAATTTCTGTGCTTATTTCAAGGTGTTAAGCAGCAGCCTCTAGGTGGGTAGGGTTTGGGGCCTTCCTGCTCATGGAATACAATCCATGGAAACTGATTTCTATGTACCACAGATATTTTAGGTGACTGCAGTGATTGTAGCTGACTAATTACAGCTTTTTCCATGCATTTTAGTATTGCCATTTCCACTCATAGGAATGTGACCAAGATTTCCGTCTTGCTTTGTCCAAACTAGTCACTTATGTATCTGGATTCTAGGGATTTTGGTTGTTCTCTGGGATCCCACCACACTCAAGGTGGCAGAGCTCTAGGGTTGGTTGCTGCTCTCTGAGGTTGCATTTCTTTCCTCCTTTGTCCAGAATGAGAGCTCTGCATACTGAGATAACAGGTTAGGAGACTGGACACTAGCTGCATCTGGCATCCACACAGAGACTGTCCTGACAACCCTCAGCTGATTGAGCAAATTTAGACTATCTGGCAGTGTATGTCTGTAGGTTATTGTAAAAGCTCCCCAAGACAAACCAGGTGGCTCGCTGCAATGGAAAGTTGGGTGATTTGGCTAGAAAAGGGTGCATGATTTCTTGAAACACTAGATTACATGCACAGTAGAGTTCACAGGAAAGTCCTGTGTGCTGGGCTTTGGAGCTCTCACATACGAGTTTTGTGGATTCTTTTTACTCTTGGGGACAAAAAAGAAATCTATTCTGTGAAACAGTAGGAACTGGGGTTAGTAAAAGAGGAAAAGAAACTTTGTAGACTGAGTGCTCACAGGCATCAGGCTTTTGATATTGCTGAATCAAGGTTTAAAAAAATAAAAATAATTTAAAAAAAGCAGCAAGCAAAATAGGACACGTTTGAGTTTGGGACAAAACAAGTATTAAAAGTGCTAAAAGCAAATGTGCTCCAGGAAGGGAAAGCGTCCAAATGTCTGTTTCAGCTAACAATGAAAAGCCCCAGCCTGCAGTCCCCAAAGGAAGCTAAAAGCCTGGACCAGAGGGCTGGATTAGACCTGCTCAAAGGAGAAATAACAAAAGCTTTAAAATCAGGCCATTACTAAATCCTCCTTCCTATGCAGAATTGGGGTGTGCACTTCCAGCCCCCACACAGAAACAGAGGGATTTCTTAAAAAGCCACTGTCTGTCTAAACCTGCATACAGCATTGATGTGTATCTCGCATTCACACATTTGCTTCTCTCTCAGTGAGAACATTTATTACCACAGGACCACTTTCCTGTAAACATGCAAACACGTGACCAGAACTGCACTTGGCATATTGTTGCATTAAAACAATTTCAGATTTTTTTTTTTCTTCCTTTGTTGTAACTGCAGTCTTGTGATACTAAAACTTGTGCTACAGACTTCCCTTCACAGGGAAGTGTGAGAAGATGCAGCCCCATGTGCCTGTCAAATAACTCTACTCCTTCTTCCAAAAAAAGCTGCCTTACGTTGGCTCTTTCCCAAGTAGGGACCTGTGTTTGGTCTCTCTGAACTCCCCTTACGTGTGGAGTGAGAGATAAGAGTCTCTTTGACTTCCTGTCCTCACATTGTTACATAAGGGATTCCACTAATGCAGCAGCATAACATTAAAATTCAAAAGGGGCTAATATAATGCATTTATGTGAGAAAAACTGACTGAACTTTGTTCCACACCATCTTTTGAATCCCTCCTGCCATCCTAACTATCACAAACTCCTGAAAGTAAAAGCTTTCTAGTTTGAAAGTGGTTTCATTTCAGTGGCAGGAACCTCTAAATGTGATCCATTTTTTCAGTCTGTATTGTTCAGGATCGCTGGGGAAGAAAAGTACTAGGAAAATGTGTTGCTGTTACATAGTATGTAGCTGCCTGGCATAGCAAGCTTTCTTTGTAGCTCCTGGGAATCTGCCACATGCCTTCAAATAAATGCATTACATGGTCTCTGTCCAAAGTTCTTAATATCTCAAATTTGCATGATGCAAATGAAAGGTAACAAAGCTGTTTGGGGAGAGGATGACTGATTGAGGTTACATTAAGACCATGGGATTACTCAACATAGGCATGCAAACATTGCTGGACAAAGTTTATCAGACTGTTCCAAATTCTAATTTGTTGGAGCATTGTTTGTGCAGATTATGCTGGGGTTTTACTTCGGATCTTTATTGTCTGAAAAGACTCTTCTTTCTCTAAGGACCTCTGTTCCCTCTCTACTGGTAGCAAAAGATTTAAAGCCTAACAAAACTCCAGGCCACCCAGCCGCAGGGTAAGATTTCCAGTAACCGATTCTGAATCTGAAATCCCCTGCCAGTTTGCAAAGCCAAGTCTAAAACTTGAAATGGTAAAAAAGCAGAGGATATTTGCCAGACATTACTCCGGACAGAGATTTGCAGTTGCGAAAATTCAATTATAGTACCTCTTCCATTGCAGGTTCTGACTTCCTACAGCAGCAAACTGGAATGGTATTATAAAGAGAATGCTAAAGCAAATTCAAGCATATGAAAATGCAAGACTGGGCCAGAATCCCATCCTGTGGAAAAGAAACACCCATTGATCCACTGAAAGCAAACTAGTTCTTTTCTGGAGACTATTTTACACTGAACTTGGCCTTTGTAATCAGTTTACTTTATTGAGGCAAGCTCTTGAAATGACATCACACCTAGAGAGTGGATGGATTCACTCTTAAACCTAGTTGCAATGAAGGGATTCGGCACTCTGCGTTAGCTACAGGTGGACAACTTGCCAGCAGCCTGGAGATTGCACCTGATTCGTTTCACACGACTGGAAGTCAGGCAGGTGGCAGTGGCTACAGTACAGCAGAGGTGCAACAGTTCCAAAACAAATAGTCCTTTTCAGTGGTTCCCTTTTGAACTGAGAGAGTCCTGTTCATCATTACTGCTTTCATAAAGAGACGCGGAGAGGCAAAGGCAAGCAAATGAGTGTCAGCTTCTGCTTTGACTAAAGCTGTTTTTCTGTGATTGGTCTCAACTTGAAATACGTTTGTATTGTTTTGACAGGTATCTGACTCGCTGGTCCGTCAGATCTGCAAAGCCCATCTGGAAGAGGGGCCCAAAGTGGTGCAAAGTTCCCATGCCAGTTGGACACCTTCTTCTGAAGGATAATGTCAAATATGTATACAAGCCGCTTTATTACAACCACTAGATTCCTGAATTGGCACAGTCAATGAGCACAGCTGTTTTACACTGTTCTGCTTTTTTGTTTGCAAGTTTGCTGGTATTTCCAAATTCAAAAACTCTGATTAGTGCTCTGTATTGTCTCTGGTGAATAAGCTGCGATGCTCCTCAAGGAAAACACAGGATTCAGCAAAGCAGAATTCAACGTTCAGAATGATTTTGGAGAAGGCAGTGGGCAAAGATTTTACCTCAAAGCCAGGAAGGCTTCTGTATCACTGTAGTCTACTGCTGGCTTTGGAAAGGTGATTTCCTTCTTTTCCCAGAAATAAATGGTAATTCCCCTTTAATGTGTTTCAATTTGGATTTGCCTCATTTGGGCTGTTGTATCTCTGACACTGATGGAAGAGAAAATCTACTGCAGCACCGTGTTTCCTCAGCAGTAACAAATTATGTTAATGACTACCAAAGTGAAATATTTTTATAATCTGTACTATCCATAATTTGCAGCAGAAAACACATGGCAGTGGCAGGCAAGCATGTGTATTTCTTACACATCCACTTCAGTATTCCTAGCTTGTGCATCCTTCCTGAATCAAGCAAATACAGAATGTTGATATTCTTGACAACTGGACTTGCTTTTTCTCCCTGCAAATGCGTTTTCTACGTTTTCCATGTCAGTGATGAAGGTCCTTCTCAGGATAGTTTTGGGCTGACAGATGTGCATAATTTTCCATCCTGTAAGTAAAAGGTGGCACCTTTTCTCTCCTTGTATAATATCTGTATGCAACTTCCACTCATCATTTCACTTAAGAAGTGCTAATTAAGGGCCTCATATGAAAGGCTTATTAAATTATTAGGGTCATTATTGATTCCATTTCTTTGATACTTATCTGAAAGCTACAGATCAACACAGCTTGTTATATGTACTGCTTGCATCAGAATCATCAGTTAATACTGGTATGGACAGGAACAAAGGATTGGGATAAACCCATGTTACCTGGGAAATCAAAATAGTTTATAATGGGTTTTTTTGTTTGGTGGTTAGTTTTTTGCTTCTGTGAAATGGAAGCCCTGAATTTAGCCCCTTGAGCTGGCTAAGATGTTTTGGCTTTGGGAAGGAACCAACACTCTAAAATTTCTGGTCATCTCTGTTTTATGAAGCTTTGAAGCCTTCAGCCCTTCAGAAAGGAAAAGATTTTTCCTTTTCCTGTGAAAGAAAGTGGATATGTTTTCTAGCCCAGGTAGCTGTGCTCAGTGAGTTCTGCTAACAGAAATGTCACTGGATAAAGCCATAACCTTGAGGTGAACCTAAATAAGAAAGTTTTGCAAACAACTTGATGATGCCGACAGTTAAATTTTTTCTAAAGTTTTGTGAAATAAGCTGGATAGACCACGCTAATTTTTGTGAAGCCTAACACCTGAAAAACAACACACTCCTGTCTTCATGATCCCTTAGAGTAAGCAACAGCTTTTTACTCTGACTCCAAAGCAAAAACTCTGCTTTTGTTTGGCATTCATGGGTGACAGCAGGCATTCATTTATGTTCCTCCAGATGAGATTTTATTTAAAGCATCATCTCTCTGTACACAATCAGATGGCCCAGGTTTGATTTCTGACCTAAGACTTAGCCCTTCATGGAAGAAAATGTAATTCGTTACTAGCTGAAGGATCTGTAGTGACACATTATAGGGAATTTAATCAGGAGTTGAGGATTGCACTCTGTGAAATCCTAGGAAAAGAATCAAGGCGCAAAAAAATCCAGCTCACAGTGCAGAGGTTTCATGCGTTTAATAGAATAAGCTATACGAAAATCTCCCAAATATAAATTCTAAGTATTTTTGAGTGAACATCCCAGAGAAGTATTTCACAGCATGAAAGGCAGATCTAAGTTCTTCTCGCCAGTGCCACAGTAGATGTAGCCATATTGCTTAGTCATTGGAACATGGTAGAATGTCAGTCCAAGCCACAGCAGACTTCTCAACACCACCACAGTGGATCCCTTCTCAAACTGGACAGTCCAGGAGCCTGTAAGAGAACATGAGCTAATGTGTCACTGCAATAAGAAAGACTGAATTCCTGGGGCAAGGGAGAAGGACTGCTGTGGATTCTGCCCAACTGTTAAACAGTACGCAAGGCTGCATCAGTATACTGGAGTTCCTAGCTCCCAAAAAGAGGAAAATCAGACTAAAAACCTCCATGTCCTTTCTTCTTTTGGCAGTTCTGCATTACTGGCTGCATTTATTTCCAGGTGTCTGATTTTGCACTAGCACAATCCTACAACCCTAACAGTAGAGTCACATGGATCACAGGAGGGGTCCTCTGGAGCTCCAGATTTGTACATTTTATCTCTAGGAGAAGCTACTGCTTGGCTGCTGCTGAATGGGCATCAGTTACTTTAGCAAGCCCTGGTACCTATTTGGTCCAGCTACTAGTTATATGGCAATCCTGTGAATATTTGCCCAGGTATGAAATTTCTTCTCAGGCTGGTACCATTAGTAGTGGGAAGAAGAAGGCACTTCAGGGAAGACTGGTTTCTCTAATGCAGGATCTGACAAAGAGGAAGGGAAGAAAGCTAAAAGCAGGATGCTTCCAATCTCAGAAACTTACAGAAAACGTTAATTCTCTTCACTCTTTTTTGGTTTCGTCATTGACAAGGATGTGCATAGTAGGGGCAAAGAAATTAGTTTCTGCAATAATTTTGCCTTGGCCTTGCAGAGAAAAGTGTGGAAATGTAATTTCTCCTGGATGCAAAGAGCTCTGAGCTTCTGAATATTATTTTGTGTTTGACACAACAGCCTAGGAACAATGCCAGAGGGAAGGGGGCTAGAGCACCAATTTGAATTCAGTGCTGGGGTAAGAAGCTTCCAGGAGAAAAAAATAACATCTTCAGTGCCAAATGCCTAGATGCTGCAAATAGGGAAGAAGATTCCTGCTGAATCCCCATTTAAAAGCAGAAGCAGCAGACCCAAATTAAAAAAAAAAAAAAAAAAAAAAAAAAAAAGTCAGACCTGTCTGGACACTACTGGCCTAGAGTCAAGTGCTGAGCCTATATGGTGAGCTAAAAATTGCCAATTCAAGAGTAAGCAGAAAGCCCATAATGTTTTGGATCAGTCAGAAGATATTCATTCTTGTAGATAATTCTGGAGTCTTCAGTTTATACTATGACTCACGCTTACTCTTGTCATGGTTAGCTTGGAGAAGGGCTTCTGTGATTGCTGCCAACTGCCAATCCTCCCTTTCCCAGTAACTTCTGACTCTTGGCTAATTGCATCTGATGGAAGGCTGAGGGGCTTAAACATCACAAGATCCTACAAGAGGTCTCCATGGTACATGGTCTAGGAATCCAGGGGTTGACTGCAACTCCTGAAGCTCTGTATGTGATCTGCCAGCAGATGCAGAAAGTACATGCTGTTTGGACTTGCCTGGCAGTCAAAAAGCAGCAGCTAGCTGGGCACTCAGTGTTTGCATGTCTTCAATCTTTTGCACATTTACAGTACATGTAGTCTCTTACCCACTTGACTGCTAACAACAGTTGATTTCTTGAAGGAGGAGGAACATGATCAGGGATGTTGAAAGCAAATGTATATATGATGTCTGCAGAATGACAAGGGAATAACACAATTCAAAGTCCTGTAAGACCAGGTGTCATGAGTTGTTCCAAGCACCTGATACCTGTCCTCTTCATATTTCTGTTCTTTTCAGAAGTTTCTTGGACAAGATTTTTTCCTGTCTTTCAGTAGAAAGTTCCACAGGTATGTTATACTGTAATATGCACAACATAATTCCTGTGTGATCTTTGACCTGGTATCCTTTCCAGTACCATCTTCAATTACGTGCAGACATGGAATCAAATGAACCACAAATACCCTTTCACCTTCTGTGACAGTCAGTGAACTTTCTGATAAACTGACTGTATGGAAGTACAAAGAAGATATTAACAGTCTTTAAAGACTTGGGAGATTTTTGCACTGAAGAGTTTACTTCTGACTCAGTTCCTTGTTTACGCTACAGACAAACAACTGGAATCACCGTTAAGCAAAGCACTCACTATTTAATACAGGGCAGGATCAGTACAGGTGTATGGCATCTCTGCAAGTTACTGCACTGTGGAAGAATTATTGTGCAGGTCCTGCTTAAAACATGAACTAGTGTCTCTACAAACAGTGGTTTCATAGAAGACACCCCCAAGTCTCTCATGCAGCCTCTCCATTGCCAGTCATAGGGAAACAAACTGGAATGGATCTTTGTCATAGCTGGAATAAATGCACACACTATGGTTCAGC